TCTGCCGCAGACACACCTCAGTCACTCTATGCCTCAGTCACTGCATCTCTGTCACTCTATGCCTCAGTCACTGCACCTCAGTCACTCTCTGCCGCAGACACACCTCAGTCACTCTATGCCTCAGTCACTGCATCTCTGTCACTCTATGCCTCAGTCTCTGCACCTCAGTCACTCTATTCCTCAGTCACACCTCAGCCACTCTATGCCTCAGTCACTGCACCTCAGTCACTCTATGCCTCAGTCACTGCACCTCAGCCACTCTATGCCTCGGTCTCTGCATCTCAGTCACTCTATGCCGCAGACACACCTCAGCGATGATTGACTTACATCTCAATTGGGTACTGTGCTTCCCTGTCCGTTAACGGCACGTATATCACACCCATCAGGTTCTTCTTTACAGTCGTACCATCGGCTAGCTTGTCATACTGCATGAGCACCTAACACGGCACGGCAAAGATCAAAGAGACAGTAGCATTTCATTACAGTAGAATTGGCGCCAACACTCCATACAAATTATTCCAACGAAATTGACCCACAATGCCAAATCTTTCAATGTTAGAAAACATCCCGCATTTTTAAGTGGCCCACTGGTGATGCTATTATCCTATTACTCATGCCCAGGACAAGGAAATCTAAAATCTATCTAAAATCTATCTAGTATATCTAGAATATTCACCATATTTACCTGATTGAATCCGGCTGGACCGACAGGAACAATGAGCCTTCCCCCAGACTTGAGTTGGTTGATGAGCTGTAAGAGCAATAGTACAAACATTCAACCACTTGTTACATTACACTGTGTGCAAATCACTCACACCTCAATCGAAACGCTCTAACACTGGAACCGTGCATAAATTCAACGTGAATTTACAAGCATATACCTTAAAAGCAGGTATTCGTATCTTTCTGCTTAAACTCTCATGTGAAAATCTCGCAGTTCATCTTAAGAAGCCTCTCCATGATATTAGTGGTGCAGACATACTTGACCAGACTTAGTAGAAGTGTATTATTACATTTACCAATGTATTTTAGTGCCATACTAGTGTGAATGCCCACACAGATGTGACAGGTAAAACACGTTGCTTGTGATAACGTCAGGAGATAACGTCTATTTAAATTATTTAAACAACAACAGTTCCTCCCCAGAAGATAGCAGGCGCACATTTACTGTTCATTTACTATTTTACAGCCTATATATAACCGCAGAAACTCATGATAATTTTATGCTGAAGTAATTGGTAATATGTACTCACTGGTGGGACTAAATTTGTCTAAATTTATTAATTTCATGGTTAATCTGTGAGATGATCCTTTTAATGACAATTAAATACAAAAATACAAAGTATTTCGTAGGAAAGGCACGAAAAATGTAAAGTGATTATATATAAAACATAAAATATAAACATAAAAATATAAAATATATACATGAAAATAATAGCATACAATTTCAGATATAAAGGGGATTCACAGAAGATGGAAGAAACGACAGTGTGGTTAAGAATAAGAAGCATAATATATAATGTGAAGGTAAGAACTCACAGCATGAGGAGTTCCATCAGCTGCAGCACCAACGTGAATTGCATCATATGGACCATTTGGTTCGTAACCTTTCCTACCATCACCATCTGCAATAGAACAAAAACACACTATAGATTCATGGTGGTGAAATAATATATAACCTGATACTAAAGCAATGAACATAAAAAAATGGAAAAAATGTACCACAATTCAAATCAATGTTAAAGTTTGACTAGTATTACTACTATTAGTCTATTTGCCAGATCAAGACCACACCTAACCCCTACCACACATACTATCTCATGTAATATATACACATGCAGACACACACGCACGCACGCACGCACGCACGCACGCACACACGCACGCACGCACACAAACACATGTACATAGATAGGGTTGGGTATGCTAGTCTTACACCGAGGAGGTAAGATGTTCAGCCAGATATCTATAGCTGCTTGTCTCAAGAGTAATTATGATGCACTAGTGACACCTATTGGTGAGTTCTGTAAACTACTTCGCAGTCTTGGCGGCACATGATGCACATTTACTTTATGCTTCTTTACTTAGTGTGTGCGTGCGTATGTTCCTAGAGATAATTTTCGGGCTAGCTTGCAACAGTGCAAAAAAGCTTGCCATGGGCACACGCACGCACGCACGCACAACACACGCACACACACAAACACAAATTTACATCACAAGCTTAATAGGCCTCATTGATTATTATCCCTGATGACCACACAAGCGTACCAATAAGTTTTAGCCTTCCCGTGTCTAGTAAGCTCCCGTGAGATTTTCGCACATTCTCGATGGAATCTTTAACTAGCCGACTAATGTGATCCATTCCAACTACGCGTCCACTATCGCCAACCTGCCAGTAAGAAATAAACGTCAGTCAGTGTCACTTCATGGCTTCCACATCACTACTTTACACAGAAACAGTTTTCATCTTTATCGATTTTACGTTTATCACTCAAATAATCGGGACAATTTAAATTAATTAGTAAATTTACGCAAAGGAAACATGGATGAATTTATTATCTATCATATATAATATATCAGCTTATGAAACACTTGATATATGGCTTTAATACAAGCTTATGTATACAAGACATGTGTACTAAAGCACATACTACATTTAAAGCAGCTGTTTCCTTAAATTGTTAAATAATTTGGAATGTGGTACAACACAATAGAGAGGGGAAGCTTATTTAGAGATATTTATCAGTTCTTCTATGCTACACTAGATACAGGCTCAACACAATATTCACTTTTAGTTTTCCATGGGCAATTTAAAACCTTGACCTTTTCAATACAGTACTACATGTACCAATGTGAGTATACCCACAGATTGAAAGTACTAAGACATTGTTAAGATAATCCTTGAACTGTGCCGATGTCGATAAGCATATGAACATGTGTTTGCATACCATCAATGCCATGCAGACGGACAAGTAGCCACTTCCAGATCCAATATCAAGGCCTCGGTTTCCTTCCTTTAGATGACCAGCTAGCAACTCTAGTGCATGACCATGCTGAAAGTTGTGTAGATAAAATGCAATGCTATAATTACACAAGGCTATACACAAATTTTTAACCTGTACTGATCTAACCACGAATGAGCTACGATTGCTAAGCAATAACAGTGACACACAAGACCGATTACTGAGCAAAAAGAGCACAATTTACATTAGCATAATTAAATAGCTTAACTATGCATTCTGAACAGCCAATCTTTACGTTTTTCTCTAAACAAACCATACATTAAAGTTGCCTTCTGACTCTAAGGTTGCATTTTTATATGTTTGCTTATAATTGTAAGATAGACATACAGAAATTGCTCTGGAATATGTTTAATTACAGCACAGAACTCCATTAGAACATTTACTACAGATATTACCATATGTGGTGCACTGATAGTAGCACCAAAGCCAATCCCTTGCGGTGAGTCCATGTAAGGATTGCGTTTGGAAAATTCTGACCTGTCCACCTTCAGCATTGCCTGGTATACATTGTCAGACTTGATGATATCATTGCCTTATGAATAAACAAATAAAACATATATATTTTATAAACGTGTACATATATGCATGTGTGGCTGTTAGGGTTTCAAACAGTAATAACAATGACATTTTCCCAGATGTCAGTGTAAATTTCGATAATTATCCAACGTTAAAATGGTGAAGGATCAACGAAGCTTACAAAATATGTGCTCGCCCATTGCAACCGAAATTAAGTGCTATTTCACCCTTCTTTTTTATAAACTAGCAAATTCACATCTGGAAAAGTAACTATGCAATTTTCCATTTGGAAACTTCAGGCATGAGCATCTTTCGTGGATTTGGTTGTTTAAATTATAAATTTTGATATTAATCCAATCCAGTCACACACATAGCAGGTCACAGCTAGTAGCCAATGACCAAGACAAGAAGATTACAGGCTGAATTTTAGTTCAAACAGTGAGTTCAACACTACTTTAGCATATTGGTTAATTAAAGATGGCTAAGAATCATACTATTATTAACAAAGATAACTATAAAACCCGTCAAATTCAATTAATAATTACCGTGACTTCTATCTGAACTTACTTTTCAGAGCACGAATCATTTTCTCATTGGTTGAACCATGCGATCTCCAAGCCATTTTGTAATCAGTTCCTTTTGACCCACTACAACATCAAATATATGAAGTGCTATAACCTTTTCCCACTTACAAATTAATTCATACAATATATACTGTTTAATTTAATAATAATAATAAAAATATCAGTCATTAGAATAACCTTTATTGCATATTTAGGTAAAATAAATTGTATTCGTAATTAAACAGGTGACACTTCTACAGATTCTACTGCAAAGATTTACTATGAACTATTATATATCGTTTTATATTACAAATGTAAAATATGGTGATATAATCTACTCACTAATTATATTCTTGATACAGGCAGGGCTAACAATGACAAAGCAAATTACACACTTGTCATTATTAACCCCTGATACAGGTGGCAGGTTCCAACTTTGATTGAACCCTACACGCACCTATTTTTTCCCTTGACCTAATTCAGCCTTCTCTCTAACCCGTCTTTCATTGTTTATTCATTTCTCTCTCTTAATGAGGTTTTATGGATATGGAATTAAGATATTTTGCTACCTTCGTTGGACAGCTCATGTTGAATACTGTTGAAGAAGGCTTACTGTTGTTGATGCATAAAACTTGGTCTCTGCCATAAAAATTATGGTACTACCAATTATAAAATATATGCCTGTTGGCTGGGCCTCCCATACTCTTCAACCCTACTTATGCAGATGTGGTCGTTGTCGTATCAGGTACTACAGATATGTACCCGAGGTAGTTTTAGGTTGTTTAGTATTATGTTTATATTTTTATATGAGGTATGTTTAGGGTTAGGGTTAGGGTTAGGGTTAGGGTTAGGGTTAGGGTTAGGGTTAGTGTTAGGATTAGGGTACACTTCTGTAGTACAAGTCTGGTAGACTTTGTGTATACATATATGTACCTCGGGTAAATATCTGTAGTAGTATCTGATACGATAACGACCCCTTGAGCCTTACTTATATCTATCATTATTATTACATTATCTTATATAATTTTCTAGCAAATGTAAAATACAGTCACATATCTACACACTATAATCATATTCCTTATACGGATGGCTGGTCTTAACTCTGATCAAACCCTACGCGCACAAATTTTTTCCCCTGACCTAATTCAGCCTTCTCTCTAACTCATCTTTCATCTTTTACTATTTTTAGCATCTGCTTTGTAAAAGGTGCTGAGGGGTATATGGAGTTGAGACATTCTGCCCTCTTCGTAGGAATCCTCATATATTGAATACAGTTGTGAGAAAAATTACTGTTATCAGCGGTGAATAATGACAAATTGTTGTCATTTCATTTTTTCTTAATTTTGTCACAAATTGTGAATTTGTTCACTTCTGCTGTTATGTGACAAGTTGACAACCTTACTTTCGTTGATACATAAAATTTGATAAATAAGCTACACTTAGTCTTACCTCTTACAATTACCTTTACTCTTATTATACTCACATGGCCTATCTTATATAATTTTACATGGTGATATATATCTACCCAGTAATTATATTCTCGATACGGAGCTGGCTGGGTTTAACTCTGAGTGAACCCCAAATGCATCTATTTTTTCATTGACCTTATTCTGTCCTTTCTCTAGCCGTTTTTTGCTTCTGTTTACATCTGCTTTCTCTTAGGGGGTCTTATACACATGGTGTTAAGATATTTCGCAACCTTCGTTGAAACGCTCGTATTGACTACTGATGTAAGGAGGCTTACCGCTACTTCGAAACCTCACTCTTGCTGATATATAAAACCATAGATATCATCCAGACCTAATAACACATGTATTATTAACTCTTGCTATCATACATACACAGTGTATATATATGATATCTGTGTATTAGTGCAGCATGTAATAGCCCAACTGAATAATTATACCACCGACTTACTCAAAACGTTACTCAAACTGGGCACTACTGGGTCCTGCTTATTTACCGAGTTATACACTATATTCTGAGATGCATTGCAAACAATGCAATCACCGCCATTTGCACCTAGCTGATTTTGATTAAAATCAGAGAGTGATTGACGGTGGATTCTAAGACAATGCAAACAGGTGATGTCACCCGTGCGACTATATAGCATTTCGCTTTTAACCGATCAACTTATCATTTTGGATATTCCTGGAATCCATGCCTCAATCAAATAACAGTTGCAATTTAGATGTTTATTTTGTTCAACTACTGGAATTTACAGTGTATATACACTATACACTGAGCTATTATTAAAACTCTAATAACAACGCTGGAATATTATAACATAAAGTTTAAAGTTAATACAAAACAAGTTAAATATTAAATGATAATTATGTTCTATGAGATAAAGTAATTTACCAACAGTTTTTATAATGGTAACCACATAAGGTCATAATAATCATTATAGTCTTCAAATTACATTTACAGGGGGTTTATATCAAAGACGGAGAGAGACAAAGTTGATCAAATAGACAGGCCAACACTGCGGAGTGAATTGCGATGGTAGAAAATTCGAAGTGGCTATATGCCCGGCAGCCGGGCACGGTCTTCGATTTCCTAAATGCCCGGCAAATTTTTAATTTTCAGTGATTTCTCAAGTAAACAGTGTACTATGTGATCCAAAGTATTCTACATTTTTTAGAAATGTCAGTATTGTTTTTCGCTTTAGAGACTGTATAATTCGAACTAGCGCGCAAATTCTCGCTAGCTTCGATCACTGAGCGAAAGAACTCGGCAATTTCGACACTTAAGAAAATAATGCGGCCGGCCTGCCGGGCACAGTCTTCGATTTCCTCAAAATGCGCGGCGTTTTTAATTCTTCTGGTCATCTTTACAAGTACATCAGGAAGCGGAATTCAGGGGTTAAGGTTAGAGGGTTAGGCTTGCCCGGCTGCTCGGGCATATAGCCACAGCGCTAGAACATTTCCAATACGGGTAGCGTATCAGGCTGTGGCATGACGTTAGTCGTCTATGATTGCGGTGCTCTATACATACCCAAAACATGATGCGCGCTACATACATAGCCACTTCAACATCGATCAGAATGAAATCATCTAGCAACACAAAAGCACTTTGGAGTAGCTGACTACTACATTAACAAATTCCTTAATAATAACTATCGCACGCAGAGACATGACTAGCAGATTGCGTGCCAGCTTTGCTGTAGATTCTGGGCGCTGAGCGCGGATGAGTACGCGCAGTTCCGCAGGGATATGCGCACAGCGACGCGGGATGTTCAGTATGAAGCCCGTTGCCGCAGTGGCAGACGTGCGCCAAATTCGAGGCCCGGCGCACGTCTCCAAGCCGGTATGCGGATGGGTCTGTGCGTTTAGAAGATGACAATGATATATATTGACCATATTGTTAGGAATTGGAACTTATCAAACGTTTAACAAAAATTGGTTCCAGCTCATTCTCCTAGATTAGGCTGAATCAAAAAGATTCGACATATACATATGAAGACAACAATAAATGGTTATAACATTCAGCCGAACAAAGAAAAGATTAGAGAATTTAATAGCAACCAGTATTAAAAAAATGCAACCAATATTATACTACGGCGGATTTATTACTGATCTTAGGAGTTCTAATAGACCGATAATGATAAGAGTCCGAAGTTAAAAGTAGGGTCTCATGATGCAGGAAATACTTATCGTGGGCAGAAGAGCAAAATTAATGGATATATGCATACTATAGAAGCAACAGTATTATACAGTGACATTTACCTTCTTGCCTAAATAAGTGAAAGAAGGGGGGGGGGGGGGGGGGGGGAGCCTAACTACTAAGGAAGAAGATAAAAATGTTGAGGATTTCCAAATGAGGTGCCTGCGTAAAATAATAATCCGCAGAAAGCACTACGCAAAGGCATTTGAAAGCGATGAAAACTCACAGGAAAGACTACGGGAAATCAGTAAAAATTAACATACTAGTATCATACGTAAATTGTGGCTAAATACATATAAAAACGCATCTCATTTTATTGAAAATTCGCCTATCTTACTTAGAAACAGTCAAGAGATTGGCGCTGTGGCAGTGTAAAATTATTCGGATCTTGCTCGCGAACATTAATTGGTGTGTGTTTTATTGTGGGTTTAAGTGAATGGCGGCGCCTCGTTCACTTCCGACAGCAAGTAATAAATGCACGATCATTTTCCTGTTGCGATTTCGAAATACATCGGCGGGCATTTCTTATTTAAGAAAGAAAACAGGCTGGGGTAAGGAAGCCGGTCTACGTCGGTGACGCCCATTCATGTCCATCAACGAAGAAGGCGAGGAGTCTTAATTGTGTGTTAGTCGGAGATGCGAAATATGAAGAACAAGAATTAGCAGCTGTAGTGCGCAAAACAGACGTGTTATATTTCGTTTTGGTGGCAAAGCTTCTATTCGATGGAAACGCTTCTGAAATGCCTAGCAGAAGCCTTAGTTCGTTGAGATCGGCGATTCGTGCCGTATATAGTAATTGTAGCAAAATTTAGTGTAGAAGGGGGCGGGCTAGACCTGTGATTGAAGACAGATAAGTGTAATCGCTCCGGGCTAGCGGCCTCGGGATCATGGCCGCGGTAAGTCTAGTCATTAGTATTAGTAGTTAACTTAGTAGTAGTTCTCGGCCACTGTCACTATTTACTATAGTGCACTATGTTAATGTTAGTGTATTATGTGTATTGTGTGTAAGTATGTTATTAATATTCATACTGAGTGAGTAGGTTTATATGCACATCAGTTTACACATTTGTGACAGAAATTAATTACTTAATTCAGGTGTAAGCATATGTATGTTACAATTTACTACTACTACTAAGTACTACTATAAGATCTTAGTATTATAGTAGTAGTAATAGTATTCGGCTCATCTTGTGTTTTTTGAGAACGACCTTACTAGATATCTCTACCTCAGTAACTTTGCATCCTCTGTGGATATTAACCTTTGAAGTTGGCTGAAGGGAGAAAGACGCACAATACAACTGAAACAACACCCTACTGTTTGTTGTTTACTCGAGTCCGGGTCGCAATATAAAATTATATTACTCACACGTGACACTGCAACGTTTTCGCGATACAGACTCCGACGTGGAACGCTCGACAGTGCAAGCCAAACATGGTTGGTAGGCGATGATGAGAACCCTGCTCTGCGGCAATCGTTTTTGTCGAAATATAAAAATCCGAATCTTGACTGTACTGTACTATGCTGTAACGATTTGTGAATCTCAAATCCGATTCCATACCTCTTGCGGTGAACCAACACGGTTAGAGACGATAGACTGTCACCCGTCCGTAGGTTACAGTAAATAACTTTTCTTTTAAACAGACATTCAGGCAGTTTCGGCAGCGGCGCATTGCGCGATAATAATGTTATAACAGGGAGCCAGTCTAACTGTTGGTAAGAATAATTTAATGTGCACCATGAAACGCCATATTTATCTGCTCTGGCGCGTCACAAACGACTGGTATTATAAGGAATTCGTCTGCAACCTTGATGCTGGCCAGGATTTCCACATTTTTTGGTGCAAATGATCTATACCAGATTGACAGCAAAGGGATAGAAACATTGACGAGCATATTGCTAATTAGCAAACAGTAGCTGATTGTACAATAATCATCGATCCAACTCACGCATTTGCCTATCAACTCCACCTTCTCCATTTATCCACCTCTATACTTTCTTCTTTTTATTACTTTATCTTACATGAACCACACACACACACGACGACCGCACGCACACACATAGATAGTATACAATAACACAGTGACATACACACACACGCGCGCGCACCACACATACAATAATACCGAACGCATACGCGCACGGGCACCACGTACGTGAGCATACACAGCACGTGAGCGCGCGCGACGCACGACGACCACGAGCACGCACTGCACGCGCATCACGCAACAACACAAACACACACACACACGTTGTACCGGTGCATGGGAATGGATGGACTACGGGTTCACACACACACACACACACACACACACACGCGCGCGCGCGCGCGCGCACACACACACACACACACACACACACAGAGGCGCGCGCGCGAAACTAGACTGGGACCCGGCGTTGCCCAGGTAATACTTTCTAAGGTACAGCCAGGTATTTTGACGAAGAGTTTTAAAGAAAAACAGCAAATCGCCACGCATATAAATTTTTTAAACGTTTGCAACCAGTTACACTTGGGAGAGGAAGGGGATAGAGAGAGTGAGAAGGGGCGTTGTGCGAGTGCGTGCACAAATTTGTCGTTCAATATGAAGTGAAGAAGAGGGAAAATGGAAAGGGGTAAAAAAACGCATGTGTACGACAAGAGCAGCGGGAATGGGAGAGGGAGAAAGAGTGAATGGGTGGTAGGGGGTCAGTAGAGGGATAGAGGAGAATGAGGGGAAGTTATGGAGGGAGAAGGGTAGGAGCCGGGTGGTAGGGAAGCCGGAATTTGTTACTTCACAATGGCACTCATTTCCCTTTGGATATCTTATATGTGTTATAACGACCGCCTCTATTGCAGACGCAACTTCTGATAGCTTTCTTGCTCACTGCTCATGATGATTGTTGCAAGTCTAGCCCAAGAATACGTCTGCAGCGTAATGGTCGTATTTTCTTAACGTCCCAAATAACGCTACAGCAGCTACTTGAAGTAGCATCACTGAAATACACAATGTGCATTATCAGCAAAAAGAGCGCGTGCGAGCTTCCAGGTGAAAAACCGTCAGCACACATCATGCCTTTTACGACGTACAATACCGCATGTCCTCTAGATCCAAGTTACAGATTACCGCTTCATTTTTTTTGTTTTTCCTTTAAAGCTAACTTGGAACTAACAAATCAACAGAAAAATACAATAGAAAATATAGAATTGATGACTTTTAGTTATAAATTTGTGATTAACGGCCGAGATTTTAGTTTTACAATTCTTGTGAAAATGCCCAACAGATGTCGCCACTAACGAACGTCTCTTTTCAGCGTTGGAAATAAAATTGTCTGCGATGAAAGGTATATTGATCATGTTTACTCTCTCGCTCTCTCTTTATTGTTTATTAATTACGCGTGTGTAGAAAGTGTTAAATTTCATCAGAGATGCACTTAAATAACATGTTTCGTTAACAACATTTTTACAGGGGCAAAGAAACAAGTACGATCATGTTGGAGTTGATACGACGATAGTAGCCTAGGGACTAGGAGGGGATTACATATAATGATATATTATTGACATTGTTATAATATAAATAGACGAGCTCCTTGTAGTGGGAGCGAAAAGAAGCCACAGGCTGCAGGACAAAACGCTGTAAAGTACCACGTACAAACCCAAGTGAGTAGCTAAATCCACTGTTCCCCGGCTTCTTTTAACCCCCCTGATAACGTACCCATAACGTCGGTGAGGGGATCGTGTACGGTTTAGCACCCAACACTTCATTTTCATAACGTCCTTACCCCGCTTTCTACGAGTACTACTACTACTACTACTACTACTACTACTACTAGTATTACCATGACCGTATCTATGACGGCCCGGGTACTACTTTTTAACAAGGCTATGTTATTGTGCCTAGAGCAGAGGATTGCTTGCGCACCAAAGGCATGATCCAATATATAGTAAAACTAGAGGTATTATAACGAGGCATGTCCGAGGAGGTTGTACCCCAGTTGATGTCATACACAGCCATAGTACACACAGGCACTTGGAG